ACAAAGATAGTTGTTGTGAGGGTGAGAGCTATTGCCACAAACACGCCATACAATACCAATACATATACAACACAGTCATGTGTTTTAGATTCTAAGGGTGTGGACACATATTCACTAAATTGTATTAGATTTTTGGGATGAGAGAGAGAGAGAGAGAGAGAGACTAAAAAGAGTAGAGAAGAAAATAATAATAATACTGCAAATATCGTCAACTCATAGGCGCATCATTTCCTTGTATTGTCAGATCTTATAAAAAACGTTTTCTTCACATTTAAGGGCACTGTATGTGTTGTGTGTGTGAGAGGCGTTCCCTTTCATATTCTTAGGGTTCGTTTGATCACGAATTCGAGTATCCCTTCAATTATTATATTCCTATTCAGTGCTCGCCTTCTCTTCTCTCCAAAGGAATCGCTTTTTTCCTAATTTTTCGTTTCGCCGAAGAAAGCCCTGAAAGCCTCCGCCTGTTATAAATGGGGGAAAAACACCCAAAAGAAAATTTAATGTTGTGTTTGGCTGTAGTGATGGGTGGAGACAAATGCGATGCAATGAACCGCTACTTTATAATTACCTTAATTATTACGTTCCCGTTCCCCATCCACTCCACTTCAGCCCTCTCTATGACCAACATCTCAGACCTTTTGCTTTGAACTCAAATTACAGCATATTATGAATGCATTCCTGATATTCTATACATTAATTATATTCAAATGAGAGACTCACAAGAATGAAATCATTTTCTAATCATAAAACAGAATAAGTTTTGCAAAAAGTATTTTAAAATTCAGGTGTTGTTCAACAAAATTAATACTCATTTTCGTGGCGCTAATCATGAGATTAATACTCATTCGCACACATCATTGAAAAATGGATAACAAATTATCATTAATTAAATTATATTTTATATTTAAATTCCGAATTGAATTTTAAATGAACTGTTTGTTTGAAAACCATATTTTAGGTGAAAAGTGAATACGAAATCTCCTTTAGAAACAAATCTGAGCTCACATTTGGTCATAAAATTGATTATTATATGCGTTGACTGATTGCAAATCGTGTTTCATTTATAATGAGTAATGGATTTTCATAACTCATTACTTTTAAGCATAATTTTACATAAAAGGGAGGCATTTAGACAATGGTTTGATTGCACGCCTTTAAGTTTAAGTATCATTTTGTTCACTATTTTTGTGAGACTATTATTTAGTAGATTTTTATGTAAAAATTATTGTTATTATAAATATTATAATATACGAAAAAAGTGTATTAATCTCACAAACGATTCCTCAAAAGAGTATTTGATGTGCGAAATGAATGTTGAAAATTAGTTTCGCTTTTCATTTGTCCTCATTTTTACAGAAATGTTATGTTTGTTTAGGAATTATATTAATAATAAGCTGGAAAATCAAGAAATTTATTTGTATTTGATTTTTTGTCATTCATTTGAATTGCAAATCAGGCATTAAATTTGCAAAACATTTAAATTTTATTATTTATAATCTATTAAACTATAAAATCTTTTAAAAGCCTAACTGTAAAATCTTTAGACAAATCACTCATTCATAGGTTTCGCAATAGATTATATAAACAAAAATCTAATTTTTTTTAATGAACTTTCATTTAATAGTCTAGAAATTGAATATTTATTTACATAACCAATGAATAGTGTTTCTAATTTACCCAAGTCTTAATATTTTTGATAAATATTCATAATTATTTTCCTATATATAAACTTTTTAAGACAAATAATATCATAAAGTCACTTATCTTATTCAATAGTTTATAGTATAATAGATCATATCTATTTCATACACATTATTAAAAATACCAAAAACATAATTCAAACTTTGGGTTTAAAGTTGTTTTTTCGTAGAGAATATATTATTAATATTTGAAATTCAAAACTCGCCTATCATTTAGGGTATAGAAAGAGAGTGCAATTAACAGTTTAAATGGGTTCAGAATTATAAAAACTATTTATAAGTATTAATAAAAGGATATATATTTGAAAAATTCTGTTTATTATAGTATTTCAGTGAATAGAATAAGTTATCAAATATCATATTATCTAGTATAATATTATCTAGTATACTATTTCATACACATCGGCTGAACATTATTCAAAATACCAAAAACATAATTCAAACTTTGGGTTTAAAGTTGTTTTTTCGTAGAGAATATATTATTAATATTTGAAATTCAAAACTCGCCTATCATTTAGGGTATAGAAAGAGAGTGCAATTAACAGTAATATAAAGATTGTATTTTATCTCTCATTCAATGCCCGCTATCAGTGAGTGGGACAACACTTTTTGTTAAACTCGTGGTGTATTGTCCCTAATAGTGGTATGGCTTGAATGGTGGCACCGAATGATAAGCACATCTACTCAAAGGTGTTGACTTTTATCTGACGGGCGTTATTAACATAAAATACTATAAAAAATCATTTCGCCCCACAAAGTCTCAGCTCATTTAGCATTTTCGTTTGAATGTCTCTTTTTCATGCATTCATTCAGTTGTGTTAATTCACATGAACGCTAAAACATAATGGATTAGTGCGAGTGAGAGAGACTCTCATTTGATATTCAATTTTACTTTTCATTTCGAGTTATTATTTGTTGAGAGTTTGTCTGCTATTAGAGTACAAGTGCTTTGGATATGTAATGTTATTAGAGAACTATGGAATTACTATCTAATAATATTAATTGTAAGAAATACATTATATTCATGTCTGTTTGTCTACATAACAGTGATAACGCAACTTTATTATCACTTTTTTCATTATTGTACAAATATTTACATTTTAATTGCGGAGATTGTTTTTAACTTAACAAAAATATTATGTTTATTATAATAGACAACCAGAATATACCCCCGGGATGTATAGTATGTGCCTGGTGCGCCAAGATTGGTATGAAATTGTTTACGCTGCGAACGGCCACCGGATGTAAAGCTTTTTGCAGGTATTTCTAAATTATTAAAAAAATACTTTCACTTTAAACAATACACTTTCTATTTATGAACTCAAAGTTTAATTATGAAAACTAACATATAATATGATATGTATTTTACAGTGAATTATGTTTCACACAATGCAGAAGAGCCTCATTTAAGGTATGGTTTGTATAATCTTATGCAAGTAATTGATGACCAAAATTATATAACATAACATAATATAACATATTTTTGTTTGTGTGCAGAAGAATAAGATATGCGACTGGTGCAAACACGTTAGGTATGTCCATTCAATTATCTCTTATGATAATAGATGATAATAGCTTTTCCCACATAAGCCTTGACGCAAATTTTCATCCCTTTCCAGACATACTGTTAATTACGTTGACTTTCAAGACGGCGAACAGCAGTTGCAGTTCTGCAGCAATAAGTGTTTAAATCAATACAAAATGAATATATTCTGCAATGAGACCAAAGCGCACCTACACCTCAGCCCTACTATGATGAAGGACACCACTAAATTAGCGCCGGTATCCTCAAAACAGTCATCGAATTTAATAACACCTGAGCTGTGGCTGAAAGACTTGAAAAATGGAGAAAATGAAAGCAATTCTGCGAACAGTTTCATTGAAACCTCGGATTCAGAGCTGGATCTAGACTTAGAGGACTCGCAGCCATTGCCTCCACTACCGCTTAAACGCAGGTTCACTGAGTTGTCAAAAGACACTGATTTAAAATCTAGTGAAAAACCAAAAGACAATTCAGTCAAAGATAAGATTCAATCACCAAAAGATTCAAAACGTGCCAAACATTCACATAAACTCCCGAATAGTAATCGCCAGATATCTGGCGCTAAACCCATAGGTTTGATGCATTCAAACTCGCATTTGATTCAATCAAATGACAGGTCTTCTCGTGTATCCGCAGACAAGTCTTCGGCGAACTTTCACTCGCCTTCATATGTAGGACACGCCAGACATTCACCAATTCCCACATCAGTTGCATCGTTGCCGCGCTCCTCAATGGTTGCG